GAAGCTGGCACAGGATAACACCAGAGACTTGCCTGGTATCTGCCAGAGAGTCTGAGCCACGTCTCTCCCCCATGCCTTGCTGGTGTCAGTGGCTGAAACACCCCGAGAGGCAAGTGAGCTGTGCTCATGACCAGACCCCAGGAACTGGGGCTGCTGGGGGGGCACAAAGAGGAGGCAGCACCTCTCTGCCTCGCTGGATTTTACCTGGAAGCTGCTGGGAATGGAGATGCCAGGACAAAACCTGGTAGAGTCTAAGAGCAAGGGTCTAAGAGCAAGGGTCTAAGAGCAAGGCCCGTTCATTGGCTGCATGAATCTGAGTGAATGGACAGTGTCCCTAGGAAGTACTGACCCCTTCTTCCAAGCCCCCGATCATCCCATAGAGAAACCAGGCATGCACCCCAGGCAGAGAGGAGCTGTAGCTTGTGGTCTATTCTTCTTGCTGTACATGACCATAAGCCCCAATCGGCCCATGCAGGGGGTAGGGCAGAGCCCTGCTAGTCCCAGCAGGCCTTTCCTCTCCTCATCCCACCAAATCAACTACTTTCAGCCCAGTGCACGGGTGCCAAGTGCCGGCTCTGAGAGGGTCGCCTGCCTGATGCGCCCAAAGGAAATTGGCTGGAGACACCGAGCAACCAGCCAGTGTCAAGCCCACCTGTATCCCTCCTCTCCGATGCCAGAGGCATTTCAGTCATCGTATCCATCTGCAGGGTACATCCAGCAGTTCTCAACCTTTTTAATCTCACGGCCTCCCCTGTTCGACTCAAAACACCTCTCCGAAAAGGCCAGCTCTGAGCTCCCACACTTTTTTTTTTTGACTACAGAAAAACACTAGACCAATTCTGTGCTGCAAAGACCTCAGAGACCACAGCAGGTTTTGACACTGGATTCCTGTTGGAAATCTCGGGGTTTACCTTGTGACTCGTGTGGAGGTTTGCACCCGTAGCAGCACACGACTCTCTGCTGCACCCTTCAGAGGATCCCACGGGACCGCAGGGTGCTGTGGCGCCCGGCTGAGAACCAGCGCTTTACCCGTGATGCTTCAGACACCCGTTTTCCTCCAACCACGAGCCCAATACAAATCACACCGAGTCTGGGCCTGGGGGGGAGGAGGCAGAAAGTCTGCCTCAACCCTGCTGCAGATGGTGGAGTTGCACCATGAGAGGATGACTGCATTTCCCATCGGCATTTCATTCATGAAATAAACGGTTTAATTCCCTGCTCGTTTCAGACTTGGAGCCATCACACCGTGGCCTGTAACAATGCGCACTGCAGCCGTTCCATTAATCCCTGGCCATATTAGTGCACTAATGAGGAAATCACCACCCACTGATTAATGCTCTGAACTGGAGATACTAGGCCATTCTCACAGCAGGGGTCTACCCCCATCACAGCCGCTGACGTCAGCTAAGGATGCAGCCAGCCCCACGGAAAACAATTTGTTGGACTGAAACAAAAAGTTTCTTCCTGGTTTTCAAGACCCCCCACTTGCTTCCCAGCCACCGCCTCAATCCTCTCGCATTTCCCCTCCTTCCTTTGCAAAAGCACACAAGAGCTGCCCTCCCCAGGGCTGCCCCTTGCTACCGCTGGTCGGATAAAGCAACCTAGGAGCTAAATATTGTGCTTCTCACCCAGAGATTTTAAACTTTTTTACAAAGGAGCTCAATATCACAGCTAGGACCAATAGCAACCGACTGCTTTTATATGAAAGGAGGTGGTAAAATGATGAAAATTAGAGTTACATTGAGAAGTTCCTGCCATGGAACAACAGGAAGGGTCTGTCACCTCTAGGATCAGGGCTGATCTCTCTCTCTTTCCAGCCATCTTTGCACAAATAGATGTGCAAAGAAGATGGGGAATGACTAGCCGGGCTACACAATGGCAGAGAAGGACCTGGAACATAAACTGAACTGCAGTCAACAGTGGGCGCATCTACACATTCATTAATGTGCCTTAGATACTGTGCATTTAGTTTAGTACTTCCTTAATAGATTACTAACTAAATGCATGGTACCTAGAGTTACTGCACAATAGCATGGGTGCACGGTTATTTAGTGACACTTACTGCACAGTAGCTTAATACCACTGCGCAGTAGGCTATTAGCACGGTGTTTGCTGTGATGCACTACTGCGCAGTGTTATTAGGCTAATGCGCAGTAAGTGTCTCATGTAGATGCGCCCAGTGTGCTCTTGTTGGGAAAAAAAAGCCAACAGCTTGTATTATAGAAGTGTCACTTGGAAATCAAGGGCAGTGATTCTCCCTCTCTATTCAGCACTGGTGAGGCCTCACCTGGAGTCCTGTGTCCAGTCTGGGGACATTTCATTGACCGTTTACAAAGAGTCCAGAACAAGGCAAAAAAGGATGATCAGGGAAGCAAATCTTATGAGGAAAGGCTGGAAGAACTAGGGTTATTTAGCCTGGAGAAGAGGACCAAGGGTAGATTCGATAATGATAAGTACCTGAAGGGCGATTATAGAGAGGATGGAGACAGACTTTTCTCTGGGGCTGCAGGACTGGGCGCTGTGGCCTCAAGCTGCATCAGGGGAAATTTAGGCTGGAGACTAGGAGGACCTTTCTGGCTCTGAGGGGGGTCAAACATTGGCACAGGCACGTAGAGAAGCTGCAATATCTCCATCCTTGGGGATTTTCAAGTGCAGGTTGGACAGACACTTGGCTGGGTGGTTGAGTCAGGGATGACCCTGCCTTGAGCAGGCAACCGGACTAGACGTGGCCTCGTGAGGTCCCTTCCAGCCTGACTTTTCTATGATTGCTACCAAACATGTGCCCAAGACCCAGCTGCATTAACACAAGAGCTTGTGTTCTTCTGCCCACGAGCTATATCACGCGGCAGCCTCGCCTGCTAAGGGAAGAGGCAGCGAACCCAGTCTTGGGTGGTTTCAAACTAGCCAGGGCAGAGTACTCCAGGCCGTGCTATAGGAAGCAATGCTGAACCAGTCCGGGAATAGCGCCCGGGAACAAACGGGTCCTTTCCATCCCAGGCTGCTTCGTGCAGGAAGACAAGGGCTGACACTGTGTCTGGAAGGGCACTGACCGCACAGGGCACGTACTCAAATGTGCAACCACTACGCCAGCTTTATCCTGCCCCCGGCATCCCAGAAGGCAAAGTCACGCAACGACAACGAACGCTCCTGAGCGCCGGCACGAGAGCCGCCTTCCCCATGGCTCCCACCTTGCAAATCACTCTGGACTGCCCCCCAGGGCCCAAGCACCTGCATTTATGAGAATTCAAGGTATTCAAGGGGGCCGAAACAGGGAACAAAAGACCCTAGGTGCATTTCAGTCCAACCAGGCAGCACCCCATGCAACCCTCTTCATTACCGAGGAAGCTAGAGCCATCCTCTGTAAAAGTTTTCAGCAGTCATGATGAGGGGCATATTCAATCGGTAACAGGAATAGTGCCATGTGGGGAAAGGACAACTGCATGGGAACCAAACAAAAGTCAGGTGCATTTTTAAACCGGGGGAGGGAAACGCTGCAGACGCACGGTGAAAGCAGAATTAGACAGCTTCAGCGCATCCAAGCCAGACTCCAATGCCCGTCCAAGGATAAGTGCAGACACTGGAAACGTATGAGCCACAATTGCTTTTGTACTATGTAGCGCAAGGGCAAAAGTATTCGAAGCATAAAACCTTTCCCGCAAAGAGCTGCCATCTTTAATAAATCACCGCATCAATTATTCACCACGAATCAATTACTTGCTTCCAATGAGAATCGTATGAATAACCTCATGCCCTTTAACGCCACCTCGGCAAGTTAGCGGGGAATTAGTCAGTAAAAGAAAGAGTCACTTATCTTTTATACTGCGTTACAGAGATGACCCGAGCACCTCGAGAGCCCCGTCTCAGCGACATGGGATGGATCCAAACTGATTGCTGAGAGACACGTGGGGCCTTTCTGGGTGTAAACCAGGGGAGCGGGGATCATGCAGCAGCACTGCTGCAAAACCCGAAGACACCTGCAGACTTTGTCACCTGAATTAAGCACCTGCCCCGAGGGGGTGGGCAGCCTGGGTGTGGACAAGGAGCCAGCACACACTTCTTTCCAGGCCAAATGCAATTGCCTGGGAAGTCCCTGGGGGAGACTTCAACGAGCTTGCTACAGCAGTTCACCGATGCTCGGGCAGTCCCCACCCAAGCGACTCGCACGCCGTGTTTCCAACGCTTTCACAAAGTAGGTCAGAAATCCCAATGCACGCCGAGAGCCGGGCTGTGCCGTGTACTTACTGAGCTGTAGAGGTATCCCTCGGCATTCATGGCCACGTAGAGACCCGCCTTCACTCCCTGGATCGCCACGACACGAAGGCCCACAGGGATTAGGTTGAAAAGGGCTGCGGGGGCAAAAACAGGAGCAAGCGATGGTTATCGGGATCGTCTTCCCACGTGGTCTGCACCCCCGACCCATGCCATCTCCTTGCCCCACACCTTCCCGCCACCCCCTGGCCGACCCACAGAGGA